TATTTTTTCTCTGCTTTGTTTCTTACTGTACAATCTGCGGTAGATTCACTTGAGTTGCTTCGTGGGTTACCACAGCCATATCTCAACTTTGAATAATTGTCTCCTTTTCGTCAAAGTCCATACAGACGGATTCATTTACTTTATAATACCCTTTGAGAAGACAAAATATTTCTCCTTATATCTGTTAACTGTGAAGCTCGCTTTTATATATCGCTGTTATGGCTAAACTAACAACCACGTAGTCTAACTTCGCTTTCATTAACTTTACTTTTTCATACTTAACTTCTTTATAAATCGCCCGTCACAGCTAAACTGCCAATCACTTAGTCTAATTCTGTCAAATTATCTCTCGCTTGACTTGACTTTTCTCTACTTTACTTGAGCTCGCTAGTCATATGTAGATATATATATATTTATTTATTTAATCACTAAGGCTTCGAACTTTCTATAAACTACGCGACGCTATAATGGAACAATACTCACTTAATGTAACGAGAAAAATACCGAAGATTCGAGTAACGTGGCGTCAACAATGTTACTAAAGCCTAAACGACAATGTAATTGCAAACGCAACGTACGACTCCTAGAGAGTTACGTAACGCAATATGTCACAACTAACACTTTTAAAACAACCAATCTTCAACACCCCTGTCATGAAAACTAAACGATTATTAAACATTAAGTAACTAAATAATAACGCTTACACTAAACAGTCTTGTATATCCAACAATTTTCGAATATAATAAGAAATCTAACAACAAAACTTTCTTGGCCTAAGTTAATACCATTATTACAAACTGCAGCTCTATGCGCCTATCATTTAAGTTACACCATTATTAACGTTTAATATAATATGTCTCAGAATTAACACTAATGGTATGATTCTAGTTCGTACAAAATAATTAAAGCATTAATTTACGCAATGTGTCACTACTAAAAGTGTGATTGTAGTTTCTACAAAATGATTAAAACTTTCTATTTCAGTATTAACACTAACTGGATGAGTGTAGTTTGTACAATCCGATTAATACAGCGGCATATTGTTCTTATTAGATTATACAAACTGCAATCATACTGTTACGTTTCGGTTCGTTAGTTAATTCTCCGTAAATTCGTTCCGACGAAACTTTAGGACACAAGTCGTTTCTTAAATAAAACTAGTTTATTCTTTCTGAATATAACTTTGCGATACACTTAATTTCAACAGTCGAGCTAAAACAAACGCTATAACTCACGTGGCCAACAATATTTTGTCCGCATACATTCAATTACTCATTACCTTGACTGCAGTTCAATTACTCATTACCCCTCCGTCGCTTCGTGGCCGGTCTTATATATACAAGACTACACTATATCTAGAAAGATCACGAGATCTAAGGAAAAGACGTGAAACTTCGAGAATGACGTGACGTGATACTAGTCACGTGACCTCGATGTCGTAACAATACTTTTAATGTTAAAATGACACATTGTGGTCATCGTTTCTTTTAAATTACAATAATCCTGTTCGTGTTAATACTCTAACATACTTTATTAAATGCTTTTACAAACCGCTGTCATCCTATTGAACAAATGTTGAACACAATCCGTCTCAGTGATAGGCTAACAGGTTGGTTCTGGTTTCTACTGAAAATTTTAACATAACATGCCTCGGTACTACTACTAACGGAGTTAGTATATTTGTACACAGCGATTAACGTGATATTTGTCACTATCAGCAATGTTTTATATCTGACAATTTCCAAGTGCACTAACTCGTTTTTTTCCCACTCCTTGGTTGATATGGAAAAAAAAAAAAGGAACACTCACAGATTCGGTCTCTCATCCAGAAACGAAGTCCAATATATTGAAAAAAACAACTCTCAACACCTTCATAATTAAATTTTTATTTAACTATCTCTCAGCTATCTTCTCGATGCTTAGCTGACCCCTGTGTTTATAAACTGCGGTGCAATGTACTAAAAATATGACGTGAAATTGTCAGATCTTACTAGGCCTAATTTAAAACCATCCTTATGACCAGAAGCTCCATGTAAGTAACATCTTAATCAAACAATAAAAATGTTTAAATTTGCATCAGTATTACTACTGACAGTATGACTGTAGTCTGTACAAAAATGTTTAAAACGATTATGTCTTAGTATTGTTACGACAGTGGGGTCACGCGACGAGTATTCTAGAAGATTTGCTAGTGTGTTACGACAGCGGGGGGTCACGTGACGAGTATTCTAGAAGATTCGCTAGTGTGTTACGACAGCGGAAGTCAAGTGACGCTGGTAGCACGTGTTGAGAGTCTTAGAAGTTTCTAGAACAGGCAGTATTATCGTATTTAAGGGAGTCGAAGTAGTAGTGGAAACAGACAGAGGCAGAGACGAAGCAGGCAGAGAGAAAGAAAGACAGCGATTAAGGTCGGCGGGAACTGAGGATAGCAGACACAAGAGATCAGAACTATAGTTTGCGGGGACGGACAATTAAGTCTAAGCGCGATAGAACGTGAGTGAATTGTTGTGAACTATAATGTGTGTAACTGTGAAAAATTAAGTACATTACAAAGTTGTATTGGGGAAGAATAAACAAGTTTTATAAAGAAAGAACTTGTATCTTAGAATAATTAACAAACAAACATACAGATACGTGACAATATTAACAAGAACATGGTGATTTTAGTATGTACAAAATCATTAACACAATGTGTCTCAATATTAAGAGGATGACTGTAGTTTGTGCAAACATTTAACACAACACGTCTCACTAACTGGCTAACAGGTTGTTTCTGGTTTCTACAAAAAAAAATAATAATAATAATAATAATAATACAACATGCCTCAGTATAAGCATTAATGGAATTATCACGTTTGTACACAACGATTAACGTGATATTTGTTACTTGACAAGATGATCGTAGAAAATGAGTAACACAATTAATATATCTCATTATTAACAGGATCCTTGTACTTTATACCGTATGTTTAATATAATGTGTATCAATATTAACTGGACACTTACATTTTCCACGAATGTTTTACACATTATGTTTCCGTACTAATATGAACAGGATTATTCTTGTTTGTTTTTCTTGCATGTTATTTTGTTTTTAAATACCAGCTATTTTGTCAGTATTAATCGTAAGAGTTAAAGTGATTTTTATTTAAAAATGCATAAGCTATTACTGTTTTACACACAAAACGTTATTGAATTAGAAAAGAAATATGAGTTGGAGTTAATAAAAAATACCCACCATTACTGTTGTAGCATTGGCACCCAATGGATGAACTTTGGGGTTCCTAAATAGTAGAAAATTATCTCATATTAAATAAAAGAAGAAAATGAAACACACTGATAAATTGCACAGGAACCATCTATTAACTAAATCGTTTAGATATTTGTATATTGGCCCGGCATGCCCAGGTGGATAAGGCGCTC